TTGAGGTATTTTATTCTTTTTGTTGCGATTGTGAATGGTATTGTGTTCTTGAGTTCTTTTTCTGTTAGTTTGTTATAGAATATAGAAGTGCTACTGATTTATGCAAATTGATTTTATATCCTGCAACTTTGCTGTAGTTGTTGATTACTTCTAAGAGTTTTCCAATGGATTCTTTGGGGTTTCCTATATATAAGATCATGTCGTCTGCAAACAGTGAGAGTTTCACTTCTTCCCTCCCTATTTGGATTCCTTTTATTCCTTTTTCTTGCCTGATTGCTCTGGCCAGGACCTCCAGTACTATGTTAAATAAGAGTGGTGATAGAGGCATCCTTGTCTCGTTCCTGTTTTCAGGGGGATGGCACTCAGTTTTTGCCCATTGAGTATGATGTTGGCTGTGGGTTTGTCATATATGGCCTTTATTATGTTGAGGTAGTTCCCGTCCATGCCCATTTTGTTCAGAGTTTTTATATAAATGGCTGTTGGATCTTGTCAAATGCTTTCTCTGCATCTATTGAGATGATCATGTGGTTTTTATTCCTCAGTTTGTTGATGTGGTGTATCACATTGATTGATTTGCGGATGTTGAACCATCCCTGTGTCCCTGGTATGATTCCCACCTGATCCTGATGTATGATCCTTTTGATGAATTGCTGAATTCTGGTGGCCAAAATTCTGTTTAGAATTTTTGCATCTATGTTCATCAGTGATATTGGCCTGTAGTTCTCTTTTTTCGTGGTGTCCTTATCAGGTTTTGGTATCAGTGTGATGTTGGCCTCATAGAATGTGTTAGGAAGTGTTCCATCCTCCCTAATTTTTTGGAATAGCTTGAAAAGGATAGGTATTAAATCCTCTCTGAAAGTTTGGTAGAATTCCCCAGGGAAGCCATCTGGTCCTGGGGTTTTATTCTTTGGGATGTTTTTGATTGCTGTTTCAATCTCTTTCCTTGTGATTGGTCTGTTCAAATTGTCTGCCTCTTCTTGAGTGAGCTTTGGGAGATTGTAGGAGTCCAAGAATTTATCCATTTCCTCTAGGTTATCTATTCTGTTTGCATAGAGTTTTTCGTAGTATTCTCTTATAATCTGTTGTATTTCTGCAGAGTCTGTTGTTATTTCTCCTCTTTCATTTCTGATTTTGCTTATTTGAGCTTTCTCCCTTTTTTTCTTTGTTAGTCTGGCTAGGGGTTTGTCAATTTTATTTATCTTCTCAAAGAACCAGCTCTTTGTTTCATTGATCCTTTCTACCGCCTTTTTCGTTTCAATAGTATTTATTTCTGCTCTGATTTTTATTATTTCTCTCCTTCTGCTGACTTTGGGCTTTGTTTGTTCTTCTTTCTCTAGTTCAGTTAGGTGTGGTTTAAGATTGCTTATTTGGGATTTTTCTTGTTTGTTAAGATGTGCCTGTATTGCAATGAATTTTCCTCTTAATACAGCTTTTGCTGTATCCCATATGAGTTGGTGTGGCATGTTATCATTTTCATTAGTTTCCAGGTATTTTTTGATTTCTTCTTTAATTTCTTCAGTGATCCATTGCTTGTTCAGTAGTGTATTGTTTAGTCTCCACATCTTTGTGCCTTTCTCAGTTTTTTTCTTGTAATTAATTTCTAGCCTTATAGCATTATGATCAGAGAAGATGATTGTTATTATTTCAATTTTTTTAAATTTGTAGAGGTTTGCCTTGTTTCCCAACATATGGTCTATCCTTGAGAATGCTCCATGTGCACTTGAGAAGAATGAGTATTCTGCTTTTTTTAGGATGAAGTGATCTATATATGTCTATTAAGTCCAATTGTTTTAGTTTTTCATTAGCTCCACTATTTCTTTGTTGATTTTCTGTCTGGATGATCTGTCTATTGATGTGAGTGGGGTGTTGAGGTCCCCTACTATTATTGTGTTGTTTTTAACATTTTCCTTTAGGTCTGTTAATAGTTGCTTTATGAACCTTGGTGCTCCTATGTTGGGTGCATAGATATTTATAAGCATTATTTCTTCTTGATGAAGTGTCCCCTTGATCATTATATATTGTCCCTATGTGTCTCTCTTTACCTGTCTTATTTTGAAATCCACTTTGTCTGATATAAGAATTGCAACATCTGCTTTTTTTCCCTCGCTATTAGCTTGAAGTATTGTCTTCCACCCCTTCACTCTGAGCCTGTGTTTGTCCTTGGGGCTGAGGTGTGTTTCCTGGAGGCAACAAATTGTTGGATCTTGTTCTTTAATCCATTTTGCCACTCTGTGTCTTTTTATTGGAGAGTTCAGTCCGTTTACATTAAGAGTGATTATTGATGCATGTGGACTTAAAGCTGTCAATCTGTTGCTCATTATCTGGCTTTCCTGCTTTTCTCTTCCTATGTGCTTTATCCTACCCATTTGATACTGCAATTTCTTATGCTGGGTTTCTTAGAGTTCTGCTTATTTATGATTTGTGTCTCTGTTCTGTTTTATAGTTTAGTGGCTACCCTGAAGTTTATATTTAGAATCTCGTGTATAATATAGTCTATTCTCTGGTGGTCTCTTACTTACTTGGCCTAGACTAATTTAGTCCCTTTGCTCTTCCCCTCCTAAATTATTATTTTCACTTCTTGTTCCAACTTGTGTTATGAGTTTGTAGTTAGAGTGATAAGATCGTCTTTGCTTTGGTAGTTTCCTTACCTTTATCCTAATGCTATAGTTGAATATTTGCTATCCTATTCTGGTTCTATTTATCTGTCTCCCTACTCTGTGGTTTGTGACCCCTTTCTCCCTTTTTTCTTTTTTCAGGTATGAGAGCCTTCTTGAGGATTTCTTGTAGTGGAGGACTTTTGGTTACAAATTCCCTTAACTTTTGTTTGTCTGGAAAAGATTTAATTTCTCCCTCATATCTGAAGGATATTCTTGCTGGATAGAGTATTCTTGGCTGAAGATTTTTATCTTTTAAAGCTTTGAATATGTCACTCCATTCTCTCCTAACTTGTAATGTTTCTGCAGAGAAATCCGCTGAAAGTCTGATGGGGGTTCCTTTGTAGGTAATTCTCTTTTGTCTTGCAGCCCTGAGTATTTTTTCTTTGTCATTCATTTTTGCCATTTGTACTACTATATGCCTTGCAGTAGGTCTTTTTACATTGACAAATCTAGGAGATCTGAAAGCTTCCTCTACACACATTTCTCCATCAATCCCTAGATTTGGGAAGTTCTCTTCTATAATTTCATTAAGCATACTTTCTGCTCCATTTTCCTTTTCCACGTTCTCGGGAATTCCTATGATCCTTAAATTCTTTCTCCTCATTGAATCTGCTATCTCTCTAATACTTTCCTCATTCCTTTTAATCCTTAGTTCTCTTTCTTCTTCTGTCTGGAGCCATTCAGCCTGTCTATCTTCAGTTATGCTAATTTTCTCTTCTATGGAGTCTACCCGGGCATTCAGGGAATCTGTATTCTGTTTTATCTGGTCCATTGTGTTTTTCATCTCTAGTAATTCTGTTTGATTCTTCTTTATAATTTCAATCTCTTTTGTGAAGTAACTCCAGAACTCGGCTTGTTTCTCTATCTTTCTCTCTACCTCATTGAGTTTTTTGATTGTAGCTGCTCTGAACTCATTTTCACTTAGTTTACCTAATTCCAAGTCCTCAGGACTTAATTCTATGTTTTTGTTGTTTTCCTTCTGGTCTGGGGCTTTTATAAATTGCTGGATGGTAGAGGAGTGGTTTTTTTTGCATGGTGGTAGAATTCAGTTGCAGTTACAGGCTGTCGCCACTAGATGGGGGTCGAGAGCCACACGTTCTGAGCTCTCCGCCTTTGGGCAAGATGGCGGCACCCAGTGCGCTTTGCTGGGGCAGGGGCGGCTTCTCTTGCGCACTGATCTGGATTCGATCAGTTCTGTTCTCTGGTCTCCCGGGGCCCTGGGTTTATGAGGTCCCCGCGCACGGAAGCTTTCCCCTGTCAGCAGGTTTCCACTGTACCAGCGACAGGAGTCCTAGACAATCCCCTGGTCACACAGCCCCTCCCTCACTCCTTCCCGGACCCACGCAGCGATCCTGGTTTCTAGGGGATGGAGCGGTGTTCTCTCCTACCCCGTTCCAGCTCCTCCGAGGTGGGCAGTAGGGGCTCCGTCCTCTGTCTTTTGATACTGTAGGTCTCTGAGTCCTGGCATTAGGTTCATTAGCTAAAATTCAGGTGTTTTTTTTCAGTCCTTTGTTGTACTTTGGAGGGGAGAGAGTCCTGGGTCAGCTCACCCCGCCATTTTGCTCCACCTCCTTGGCTCCAACATTGTGTGAATTTAAGGTGTACGTCACTATATTTTAGTTTCTGTATAGAATGCATCATGTTCATCACCATTGGTCTAGTTTTCATGTCACTATACACATACGCCCTTTACTCCTTTTGCCATCCCTCACCCCATTCCCCTCTGGTAACCACCAATCTATTCTCCTTTCTATGTGTTTGTTTATCTTCCCCATATGAGTGAAATCACATGGTATTTGTCTTTCTCTGACTTATTTCACTTAGCATAATACCCTCAAGGTCCATTCATGTTATTGCAAATGACACGATTTTGTCCTTTTTTATAGTTAAGTAGTATTCTGCTCTAAGTAGATACCACATCTTCTTTATCCATTCCTTCATTAATGGGCACTGGGTTTCTTCCACATCTTGGCTATTGTGAATAACGCTGCAATGAACATAGGGGTGCATATATCTTTTTGAATTATTGATTTCAAGTTCTTTGGATAAATACCCAGTAGTGGGATAGCTGGGTCGTATGGTGTTTCTATTTTTAATTTTTTGAGAAATCTCCATACTGTTTTCCATAGTGGCTGCATGAGTTTGCATTCCCACCAGCAGTGGATGAGGGTTCCCTTTTCTCCAAGGATGTGAATTTTTTATTTTAATGGCCATGTGAACTAGAAACAGACATTTCATTTTTGTACAACTGTAACTGGATTATACAGAAACTTGTTTGTTACAAGCAAGTTAACATTGTACAAACTAACAGGGATTTCTAACATTCTTTTATTTTTCTCGTAGTTCGCAAGAGACGAGTTGAAGGAGACCACCAATAAATGCCACCAAGCTGTAGTCTTTGGAAGACTTCGAAAGGTCGCCGAGGGCTTGTGTTGGTGAAAGCAGATGTAAAATTTTCCTAGGTCTAAGGGAAAAGACTGGAAATCTTTCTTTTTCTTTTTTTTTTTAAACTACATGTATCTTTTTTCTAGTTTAAGTTGTTACCAGTTTCCAATTGTAAAATCAAAAGTAGATGATATTTTGTATTTTAAAGCATTATTTCTACTTTCTGCGAAAATCAATTTTAATTTAGCTTAATTGAATGATTTATCATGAGTCTTGGGTTAAAAAAATGCAATTGTAGAATTGCATTCTGCAGAATAATATGAAGATTTTAAGGACCAATCTTTTTTAAATCAAAAAGGGACATTGCGGATGTCAGAACTGCTGTTGCACCTCTTAGGTACAAGCCACGTCAGAGCTTTCCTTATTCCATGACATGGAGACTTTTCCATGTTTTAGAACACACAAACTTGGCAAGAGTGTGCTTTTTGCTTCCATCCAGAAAGCAAAATACCAGAATTTTAAAACAGATGACTCAAAATCTGGTCATTTGTTTAGGAGGAAAAGCAGATCTCAAGGACAGAGAAAAGGGTCTTCTGCACATTCCAGGTTACTGCCCTTGTCAATGTGTCTCAGCAACACCCAGAGTTGTTTTCAACAAAGTCGTCAGCTTGGCCAGGTTCCATGCTTTGTTCAAAAGTATACGTATGTCTAAATTCATCACAGTTTTTTATTTGAATAATGTGGGCATTAGTAATTTTGTGAAAGCTGATAGAACGAGCATCTGAGTGGGAAAGCAATTTCCCTGCCTGCAAAAGGCATACAGCCAACTGTCGGTTCCTTAGAGGAAAAGAGAAAAGAAAACTGTTATTAAACACATGAAATCAAAGATAATAAACACGATGGAGTTTTAGTCTGAGGAGCATGCAAAACGGTCATTTAAACTGATGGTTACTGTGAAGTAACTTAGAAAATGCCATGAGTATAAATTAAGTGTTGCACAGTATAGTGGGAAGTTCCCATATGCAATGCAGAATTCCTGAAATGGTATTTAATCGCCACTCACTACAAATTTTCCCACCAGTAAGGAAATTGTTATTGTTCATAAATCTCATTTTTATTATCTGTTTCCTTTCATCTTGTACTTTTTTGCCCATATTGTATAAGAGTAATTTCTCATAACAAAAGTTATCTTCCTATTGGTCAAAGTATTAAAATAAGGGGACAGTTGACCAGCGGGTGGGAAGACTGCCTCCAGAACCGAGGGCAAGAGAGGATTTGGACCTCTGTATTCATGCCCTGTTTCAGGGCGGCCCCTGGAGCAGGCGCTGGCAGAGGCTTCAGGGCTACAGAAGTTGGGGCCGGGGTGGGGGGAAGGAATCTGAGTAATCCTGGCCTCAAAAATTCAGTCCTGGCTGTATCATGTACAAGGGGGATTTTTCTAGAGGGAAGAATCTTGTTTCGGAGTAGGGGAGAGGTCTGCTGTCAATTTTTTAAAAACTTTTATGAAATTGAATTACAAAATGTCAGCTCCTTCAGCTTGGGCTGGACAGCTCCTCTAATGAGCTAGGCACCTTCTTGTGTACGACGGTAATAAGCCTTCTTAATGGGCAAACGCTGCCCTCATAAGAACTGGGTGTATTTGTTTTTTTGAGTCAGTATCCAGTATTTTTAAAGGGGCCAAAGATTGACTTTGCACTATTCCCTTTCAGTTACAGGTCACTGGTTTTGTTTTTTTTTTTTTTTCAAATTAGCAAGTGTCTCTTTCTCTCTCTCTCTTCTTTTCACATACAGCTTTGGAAATGCACTTGGTTTTAGAGACTGCACGGTTCCAGCAGGGTGGGGAGCGAGTATGGCAGGTCTGTAAGGCTTCCATTACACACTGAGCAAGGCTTCCTTGCTTGCACTGTCCTGTAAGTCAATAAATTAAGTAATGTTACCCCTTCCTCTCATAATTTTTTAAGAATAAGTAGGTGGGACCCTCCCTAGAATTGTGTCATACTTATTGATAATGTCTTTTTCACTTATTATTTATCAAAGTGTGAAGAAGTTGAATGTTTTGCTTGTACCATTCCAGTTCTGAGCTACGATACTTCATTATATAATTGAAGAAAAGATTTCTTCATAAATAACTTTAAAGATGAACATTCATTCAATTGAGTACAGAAAATCTTTCAAGAATTGTAATTACAAGGGAGAAAACTGGTGTTTACTTTGATCTTTAAAAATCTGGCACCTTATAACCTTCTATAACTTTCAGTATTTCTATATCACTCTAAAATTTATAATAGATTAGGGTTGTGAAATAGTCTTGATTTTTAAACCAAAGATTTTCTAAGACCTTAAGTTTTGTAGTCTAATCAATTTAAACTTATCTGCTTATCTAATCAAAGAATGTTCTTTCCATTTTTAAATTGCTGTTTTTAATTTCCCATTTTATAAAATTTGATATTCATATTTGTCTGAAGTTCTCATTTTTCCAGTATATCTACATGAAATTGTATGTATTAAAAATCAATATTAATAACTAATATTGATATTATTAAAATGGATTTTGGTGCTATAGACTTGTAGCTAAAACCTAGTAGAAATCTAAAGTAAAATACATTTTCTAAGGGTGCCTGTCGTTTAAAAGACCGAATAAACATTTTGTGTTTAAAAAAATTAGCAGGTTGTTAGAGATTTCAGGGAGAATTATCTTGGTCATTAAATTGCAAATTCTTGTGATTTGAATGAAATAACCCACACACTTGCTTTGCACAGTAGGTGTGCTCTGGAAAAGTTACATGTAAATAGAACTTTGTGAATTGTTTGCTCATTGAAGTATCTGGTGTGTTTTCATTTAAAAAGGGGATCCCATGGCATAATAAAACTTACAAAAGAAAAAATATGTTTTGATAAAATGTTAGTCATGTTCTCTTGTCCATTATATTTAACCCTTGCTGCCATTAAAGTAAGATGAAAAGATTCACAAGGTTTCATAAAATCTTACATTTTCGGCTCTGAGTTCCCAGGGCTGCCTCACTTTTTCCTCATAAACTCACGAACCCCCGTTCCCTCCCAGCAGATCCGAGGAACGTGGTTTTTCTAGAGTCCACAGCAACTTCCATTCTCTGCAAGTTCAGGACTGTCCAACTTTGCTCTTTCATTACAATGCCACTTCACTTTTTTAAAAAAAATTTTCTACTTTTATTGAGATATAATTGACATATAACATTGTATTAGTTTAAGGCGTCCAACATAATGATTTGATATATGTATATATTGCAAAATGATTAGCATAAGTTTAGTCAGCATCCTCACATAGTTAAAAAAAATTTTTTTTTCTTGTGATGAGAACTTTTAAGATCTACACTCTTAGCAATTCTCAAGTATACAGTACAGTCGTATTAACTATAGTCACCATGTTGTACATCACATCCCCACGACTTATTGATCATGTAACTGGAAGTTTGTACCTTTTGACCCCCTTCATCCACCCCCCCCCCCCTCCCCCCCCCCCCCCCCGCCTTTGGCAACCGCCAGTCTGTTCTCTGTTTCTATGAGTTCAGTTTTTTTAGATTCTCATATAAGGGAGATCATACAGTATTTGTCTTTCTCTGTCTGACATTTCACTCAGCCTGATGCCCTCAAGGCCCCTTCACTTTTGAATAGTCTTAATGAAGACATGGCACCCGCGAGACCCAAACATGTGCATGAGCCAGGGCAGCTCCTGCTGCTGCTCTCAGGCCAGGGCTGTGCGCGCTCGGATCTGAATGTCCACAGAACCGGCTTCTCCATCAGCTCTCACTGAGCACGGTTTCTAGATATTTCTCATCATAAGACTTGCTTACCAAACAAAGAAACTCTTCACTGATTATTTTTAGGTTGAGAAAATTGTCTTTATAAGCAAAGATTTTTATATTCTGTCATTTTAATTTGGTCATTCTTCCTGTGTCATATTGATTTTTCTGCATTATAATTCAGTTCGCTAAATCCTCCCCTAGAAAAACTAAACAAATTGGAAAATTTTTATAATAAAACATTTGGAGCATTTTATTAAACTCTAACTTGCAGTCTGATCATTCAGAGGAGCCAATCTTAGGGCTTACCTAGGAAAAAAGACATTACTAAGTAAACGACTTGTAAGCCATTAATGAGTATTTTAGTCTTGGTTGACATATACAGAATTTTCCTTAGGACACCTACTCTAGTGGCTAGAAAAGAATCGATTGTAAAACACCACCAGCCATGTTTTCTTAACATCACTGTACAAGCTCATACAATTTTAGGGTAATCAGACACCCTTAGAGTCCACACACGTAAGGCTTAATTCTCTTTTCTACAGACTGTCAGGATGTTTTCATTGCTGCAAAGCAATTGACTGGCCTAAAATTTTTCTGTCAGATATTGTAGCCCATAGTTACACATTCAGAGAGTAAGGTTTAAGAACAAATTCTGGATGCTCCTTGGTGGGTATGCATGGCAATTTTTGGGAGTTGAAATTTCACCTTCACTCAAAAAGATAAAGTTTTTGATTCAGCTGTTACAACTTTTTAGCTTTATCTGCTTAAGAATTGTAAAAATTTGTAAGAAAAAATTGCATGCATACACTTGCACACACATAAAAACTTTTGTAATTTCAAATAAATGCCCACTTAATTTTTTTCCAGTCTTTTGGATGAATTATATTTGGTTTTAGTTATGTTTGGTTATGTTGAAAATCACCTTTGTAACAATGCATCTTTCTCTGTCACGTGAAATCAGGTATTTAAGTACATTTTTTAATGCTAAAATATCCAAAATGCTGTAAATGCTCTATTTTTTCAGTTTTTATAAATATAAAAGCAGTGAATTTTATAATACTGATATTTAAATATTACAAAATATTATTAACCTGGTTCATAATAACACAGTGAAGTTCCTTTTGAAGAATATGTACTATTGGCATTTAGAACTTACCACTTCATACTGGAATAAATAATTTCAATAAAGTTTATCAAATATCCTATGCACTTGGACTTTTTGAAAAATCCCTTTAGTTCCTACGTTCTAAAGTTCATTCCTTACATAGCTCTTCAAGAACAAGCTTATTAATTTCTGAGTTATTCTGTCCCACCCTTTAAGCCATATAAAATTGTCAATACTTGACCATAATTTTACCCATAAAAATAGTAATTTCGTATGGTTCGATCTAATACCATCAGCACTTGGTCAGGGCTGTCCACAAAATTGAACTGAACCGACAAATGTGAAGAAACGGCTCCTGTCATACAGCCCATTCCCGACCCGATGGGAGCCAGTCCTGCCAACGGACTAGAGATTATTCTTACAGTAAAGCGAAGCCATCTCTTATCAATCAGCCATACCCACCAACCGAAAGAGAAAATCAGTGAAACGTGTAATGGGGTTGAGGAAACTTTTAGAGATAAGTTCAAATAATTTAAAATCTTTAGAGTTCTGAAACAAAGGAATGAAGAAATTCCCCGTGAGTCTTTAATGTTGGCTGGCCTTCGAAGATGGCTGTTGGGCGTACATTCACGTACAGGAAGCCTTGATGTCTGTCTGTCCCCTTGGGTGAGTCTCAGGCTTAGGTGCTGGTGTTGTCAGGTGACTCCAGCTCCTATGAGTCCGAGTGGATGTGGTGCCAGCAACTGTGGCCATGGGGACGGTGCCATCATGCTTAGCCCAGTGGCACCTTGCTCTTTTAGGTACCAAAAAATCGGGGTGGCTGACGACAAGTCAGTCTGAAATCACCAAACATCTTTTGTCCTTCACACATTTCGCTCTCCCGCCTGTCCGCAGGGTTGAGGGCCTGGCGATCCCAGCCCGACTCGCCCACCCCTGTCCCGTCTGCAGACGGAGGAGAGCCTCGGGGCCAGCAGCCCCCATGAGGGGGGCCGACCTCACAATCCCACTGTGCTCGTACCTCGCAGTGTCCTGGATGCGTCTAACTTGCTTTTCAGGAGCTGGTGCTAATTATGGATGTGTTTACTACACGACTATAAAATTACACTTTAAAAGTATAAAAGGGAGGGAAATACACTTTAAATCTGGGTTTTCTGTGTGGCGAGATGATGGGCCATCTCTTTTTCTTTGACCATTTCTATTTAACAATAAAACATATTTAAAAACATGTCTAATTAGTATTCAACTCTCAGAGGTAAAGTATAAACATTAAATCATGAAGGATTTACATGGTCAAGCCCAGACCCCACTGAGTCGAGGAAACTGACTTCAGAGCAGTAGAGTAACTTGCCCAAGGTTGGACCATTGGTCTGCTCACTCAGTAGACATTGACTAGAGCGCCCTCTTAGGTTCCTGCTACTGTGCCAGCCACAAAGCTAGCAGTCACCTCTAGTATTTGGTTTCCCACTGTTCTTCTCCTGATAACTCGGGGGTATTTTGGGTGTCTTTCTCTGTAAGGTCACTGATGTACCTTCTCAGCATTGTCACTGCTGTGCATCTAAGATCCTGACCCTTGTCTCAAAAATGCTTGTTTTTTCACTTGAGAAGAAAAAGTTTTGGACAGAGGTCTTAAGTTTGTTAAACCTCAGCTTCCCCGTCTGTAAAATGGGAATAATAGCATCTGCCCTGCAAGTCGTTCTGAGGCTTAGAATTGGTAAGGCCTGTGCAGCACGTGGCAGAGCGCCCCGCATCCAGGCAGCCCTCCCATGCTGCCCTGCTCTGACAAAGTCGCAGGGCGATGTGGTCAAGGGAAAGTTAGCACCATGCCAACGGAGATGACAGCACAGAAGGGCCCCAAACCCAGCTAGGCAGGTCAGGGAGGACATCCCGGAGGAGGTCATACCTGAGTTGGACCTCAGCTCACCTGGGCGGGACCAGGGGGACAGGGTAGGGCAGAGCAGCAGGAATGCATGAACCCCGAAGACCCAGAGCAAAGTTATCAAAATAAACTTCTCGTTTGGGAGAAATGGATGTTCTAAACCACAGGCTTGCTTCTGAACATATTTTATTCACAATTAGGATGATGCCAAAGCAACTCAGTTCATCATTTCAGTCAAAACAAGGCATTTCATTGTTTTAAAACAAACTGTTGAGAACAAGATATCCAGTGAGGGCACATTTTCTGCCTCAGTCGTCCTCTTCCTCTTCCCCCTCCACTTTCCTCTTTCTGGAGGGCTCGCCACCTGAACAGATTAATAGAGAAGGTGTAAAGTTTATATGGAAAATTTCTGGAACTTTCGCTCAAGGCGCTCTGAGCTGACGGGGAGCCAGCCCTGCCCGCTAGAACTCGACCCCCAGGGGTGACCCGTGTCCGCAGACACTGTCGCTAGAAGCCAGGCAGCGAGCGACCGGGCCCAAGGGATGAGACCTTCTCACTCTGCTGACTGACGTTCCCGGCATCTGACTTGAGACACGTTCCTCTGCTTCCTCAGTACTTGACTTTCTCTACCTAAAATTCCATATTTTAGAGCCCGTCCATTTTCAAAAAGGACTGCTTGTGTTCTGTGTGCTTTTTCAGGATGCTTTTAAAGTTTTAAATATAGTTTTTTATATGAAAAATGAATGCCTCTCTTACACAGGTGACCAATGCGTAATTGAACATTTCTGCTACTGCGATGTTCGCCGCCGTCTCTGAAAACCAGGGTGAAGCGCTGAGTGACTTAACACGACGCGTGGGCAATAACGGTGATTCATGTCTAATGAGACTTAAAATTTCTTTGCCCTTGTGGTCTTATAAGTAGAAAAGGAAATAATTAAAGGAAAAATATCTTAATGACATAGAAATAAAATAACCCTCAACTACCATTGGATCCAGACAATAAAGACGCCCAGCACCACGATGCACCAGACAGACCCCTCGCTCTGCCACACTGAACTGTTTGTCCTTCTCCAGTGGGGCCTTGGTGTCTCAGGGCCCTGTGCCTTCTCTCACAGGCCTTTCCATCCACCTGGCATGCCCACCCTGGCCAGTGTACCCTGCGTGCTAACACTTTCTTCAACACCCAGTGTGGTCACCTTCTCCAAACAGCCTTCCAACACCCACACGAGCACGGGTGTCAGACCCTCCTCAGGGACCATCCTAGTCCTGTCACTGCAGTTATCTCACTGAGTTTCAGTGAAATGTGTAGACATCTGTTGTGTCCCTGAGCTGTAAGCTCCTCTGCATTCCAGGAGTTGGCTCCCGGGTACGGGGCAAATCCCTTAGAATGGAATAAATTTGGTTTTACCTCATCACTGGTGAGTTTCTTTGCTCTCAGTAATCTTTGAGCCTTATCTTTTTTGGTCCTTCAAGATTGTCTGAAAGCAAAGGAACCTGAGACATGAGATTGACCTTCAAAGATGAAGACCTGTTTATTCCTGAATTTTTCTTCTGCTGAATATTGTTACTTTCCACCATACATTTTTCCTTGAGGAACCAATAATTTTTTTATTATTATTATTTTTTGGTGAGGAAGATTGGTCCTCAGCTAACATCTATGCCACTCTTCCTCTATTTTGTATGTGGGACACTGCCACAGCATGGCTTGATGAGCAGTGTGTAGGTCTGCTCCCAGGATCTGAACCCAGGAGCCACAAGCCACCAAAGCAGAGCACGCAAACTTAACCACTACACCACCAGGTGGGCCCTAGAGGAGCCAACAATTTTTTTTTTTTAAGTTTTGATGAGAAGGTGTATATAACTTTTGGACATACTGCAATGACTTAAATTTGATTTTGTTCTCAGAGAGACTGTGTGATCACTTTTAAATACCCAAGAAGCTTCATGCACACATTTTTTAAAAACTACAAAGTTTAAATATTGGGTCCTTAATTATGCAAGCAGGTAAACTGCCTATCACATATTTTCCACCAAAAGGACATAAATTACTTAACTGATTTTATTTGCAGGTGCCTTACTTTCCCAACTAAGTTTTTCTGTGGGAAAGTGGCCCAAACAACAACAAAATGAAAATGTACTGTTGTCCCAAGTAAACAACAGCAGGCAGGGAGTCAGAGCCTGTCAGAGCAAGAGCGGGCCCGCGGCCCTGAGGTGACATGGCACCTCCACCCGACTCACCTCGGAGTTCCCCTGGGTCGTGGTTTTTAACAGCTTCGTCGCCTTCCTCCTCCTCCTCCTCGTCACTGCTGGGGTCCTGGTAGGGGACACTCGGCCCCTGCTGGGTCTGCTTCGCCCGCGGATGGACCGTCTCCTGGTGAGCAGAAGCTCTCAGACGTTCTTCTTCTTTCTGTAAAGAAGCAAACTATTTAACTTCACAAGTGAACTAGTTTAGCGCCCATGTGCACCTACTTTTCCCAGCAAGAACACGTAAACACCTGGCCCAGGACACCACCTATTTCCTGTCTTCAGAGCCCACTTCTCTCCACTCCACACCTGGTACCACACGCAGTGACGGTCTTGTTTAGTTCCAAAGTGTGAAGGCAACACACGGGGGAAGCGGCAGAGGCTCCCTCCCACTCACCGCCCATCAGAACAGGCCCAGGCCCGGCCTCCGGAGCTGCGGTGAATGCCGTGCGGCCACTCAGAGCCCAGAGAGCAGCGACCAGCCTGAGGAAGGCCAACCACGCCCAGTGGACGCCTGAGGGAGGCCGTTTCTGTTCTCTCCCGGGATAACACCCGACTTGCCCAGGTTCCACCAAACTTCCATGGTGCCCAGATGTTCCTGTCTGGGCCCCGCTATCCAGAGAGCACCCCATGGCTCCTGACGACAGCAGGGGTTCCCTGAGACCCAGAGTAGACTCCATTTCTCTCCATCTGACTGGCATTCCACACATTGGGGTTCACAAGGCAGGGCCAGCGTTGAAGGAGTCAGGAATGTCCTTTTCACCTTCGTATATCACGTCCTATCTGGCTAACAAGGTTTTATGATACCTGTCAAAAGTTACATTTTTTAAATGATCAGTTTTCCTCTGAAATCTCATAGATTGGAGAGACAGCAGCTGCATGTCTGGTTTGCTATATCTCACCAGCAGCCATTGACGTTACTGTGGTTAACGACACACTTAGAAAGTGAACTGAGCTCCCTGATAATCACAAGAAATAAAATGGCTGTGGCAATAAGAAATGGTGAGTTAATATTCTGGAAAGCACAGCTCTTTATATCCCAAAAAATCCCAGGCTAAAGCTTAGCCAACATACCTTAATCATTTCCGTGCGATGGCATTCGGGATCAGGACCGGCCATTGGTAAGATTCTAATCTGTGTCCTTGAGCATCTATTAGCAAGTGGCAGGGTCATCTTTCTGTGTGTGGCACTGTCTGTAGAGTGAGGTCTGCCAGGGAATGGACAAAAATCTCTTACTGTTTCCTCAGAACATTTGGAGGCAGTCATCCATCCCAACAGCAAACATCCATGGATAAGGACCACTTCCCCTTGAGCAGAGCAGGGAGGTACAGCCACGGGTCCTGGCACTTCTGCACCTTCCTCCTTCTCTGGTGCCCCGAGAGGTTCCTCCCTCTGCCCCACGTCCCGGGGAAAGCTGAGGCAGTGAGGTGGGAGTGCAACGGAAGGCGGAGGCAGGTGGCAGGGGCAAGGGCTTTTGCAAGGAAAACCCCTGACTGCAATCAGAGAGAGAAGAGAAGGGCTATGAACTCTCATTTCCGTGAGGGTAGCGCAGAGGCCGGAAGGCACAAGTTAAGAGCTAAAGATGAGTCTGAATAAAATTGGAAGGTCAAAGCAAGGAGGCAGGTCACAGTAGCAGGGGTACCTCATGACAGCCCAGGGGGACAATAACAGAACAGGAGGCCCCAGGGCAAAAAGCACTGGTTCCTGACTCAAGGAAGGCGGATTTTAAGTACATCAGAGAGAGGAAAGGATGATCGTCAGGAGAGCCCAGGCCAGAGAGATGGGACGTAAGGGGGTAAGTTATGCTGGGCAGTCAAATGTCATCTCAGTGTGCAGCACGGCACACAGTGCAGAAAAGCACGGTTGGAACCGATGATCTTGCAGGATGCGATTCTAGAAGAACCATTGAGAGGGTGGATTTGAGCAGCTTTCACTGTGCCAGTCTCTGCACTACAGGACGTTTTCTGTATTATTTGCCTTAATTGAGGCAACATCCCTGTGAGGTAAACGTTATTATCTCCATTTTATAGATAAGGAAACGAAAAGCGAGTGAGACTGACACTCTTGCTGAGGCTTACACAGACAGAAGGAGACAGCCTCGGAGCTGTCCGCCACAGTCTCTAAGACAGACCAAGACATTTACTGAGCATAACTCACACACCATAAAATTCACTCCTTTTAACATACAAGGAAATGATTTTTTTTAATTTACAAAGTTGTGCAACCACGACCACAATCTGATTTTAGAACATTTCCTTGACCCCGAAAAGAAACCTTGTGCACAGTGGTGCAGCGTCTCAAGGGCTCCACTCCTCCAGGAAGGCCGCATGGGGGACGGCAGCGCTGGGTCCCTCAGACGGAGGCCCTGCGGCGGAGGGGAGCGGGCAGCCCGCAGACAAGGGGCCGCAGCACAGATGCGGATGCGCGCAGCACTGGGCTCAGGCCACAGCTGTCACATCAGCTAGCTCTTCCCTCTCCTCCACTGCGTGCACACACCGCAGCCTTCTCAGGGCCGGCAGCTTCCCAGGGAGATTTCTTTACAGGGAAGGGACACGCCGACCAGCAGAGTGGGCCTCCTACCAGGTGCGCTGATCAATGTACATCAAGACACCTGCTTCTGGTTCATGGTGCGGTCTCAGGTGGGTTGTGATAGCGTGACTAGCTCCCTGAGGAACAGCAGCGTGTAGTAAAGGGGAAAAGATAGTATGGGAACCAGACCGTGGTCCCTAGTGAGCCGCACCTCCACATTACGTCCACCAGGGCTGAGTGGGGCATTTGGCACAACCTCTCTGCCTTGTTGCTCTTTACCGGCAAGGCACAACCAGTCAATATGAATGCTTACCTAAAGGTGAGTTTGGATTTAAACACGGCTTGTCCCTGTAGACCAGTGTCCTCTCTGACAAACAGGTGGCTGTGATTGTCCTGCAGTGGCGCTTTGTAGACATCAAACACTTCACTGCCCAGATGGAGGGACAGGCTGGAAATGAGAAACGGTTCAGTTACGGGGCTGGATATTTAATGAATCCTACAGCTTCTGTTCCACCCTGTTAGCTTTACTTAAGACGCTGTGGAATGCAGGACACTGTCCCTGTGCTGAACTCACAAGACAAAGAAAAGACACTGTCAATAACCAGCCTCTCGCCCCTCAAAGTAAAAGGTGGTAAAATCCATCCTCCTGTCAACTTCAAACAGAATTTTGTCATTTTCCCAATCTCTACCACTTTATTAGTAAAACAGAAACTGTTTTCAAAAACATCAATTTATAATATCAAATAGCTCAACTTTGGGATCTAACACCATGCTTTCACCCCAATAAGGTAGACACCGTGAACCTGATCACGCCTGGGGTCCATTTTGAAAGCCTCCCACCAGCGCAGCAGTGTGACCTCAACCCTGTCTATTTCTCTCAAGTTTCCCAGGTAATGCGAGAGGCCTGGATTTTGTCAATTCTTTACCGAAAGATGACCCCAAAGTAAGATCCTACGGAGAGAACTTCACTCCTCCCCAGCCTCGCTCTGGGTAGTTTGACCCTCTGCAGGCATTTTGGGCTCACCTTCCATCTGACCACTTCACCATCCGAGTGTTGCTTTCTTTAATTTTATTGCCTTCTTCATCCTGGCGTATCCTCCAGCGTATAGTGTTTTCTACCTGGTTCAAAACACAAAGGCATTAGAAAAGCAGTATAACCAACCGCATGTTCTTTTTTCCCTCAAGTGACTTATAATCATGTACCAAGAATTCACAGGTCGTGATAGAATAAGCTTATAAAAAAAATAGCTGAGTAGGCAACACTGAAACCCTCCTACTACAAATACCCAGAGATATTGGCTGACCTAACCAGACATTTTGTTTAAATCTTTTCTGAGCTCCAGTTCATGGCAGTGGAAACAGAAGCTAAATACGGTGCAGGATGGAAGGGTTATCAGACACAGTAGGAGCGCCATAGGAGAGAGGATCGGGCTCTGGGTCCACACGAGGTGGGCATTTAAGACGGAGACCTCAGCCTATCGCAGGGCCCCTTGAGGGGGTGTGAACCCAGTGACAGAAGGACTGAAAAGTGCCCATTGGCCTAGTAAGACAGGGAGGCTCTGGGCATGAAATTAAAAAAAAAAAAGAAGAAACAATTAAGTAATTAATAGCAAATTAAAACCTGAGACTTGTGTTTTGCCCTGTTTTTTAGTTCAAATTTACCCTACCCACATGATAGGGAACTCCAAATCACAAAAGGAGGATAAACAGGGATCTTGCCCACTGCCACCACTGGGGGCCCGGGCAGAGGCTCATATGAAGAAGGCACATCCCTGAGAAGGCAATGGTAGTGCTCTGCCGTCCCAGGCCTGCTAGGGAGGGACCGTGGAAGGACAAGGCCTCTATTCGTGCATACTCTGAACTTCCATGAAGAGCCTGAGATAGTTCTGCTGTGGGAAGGTGCTTGGACCTATCCACTATCAAACATGGAGGCTGCTCCATATACTCAGCCACACGCTCATTTATCCTGAAGGAAGGAGCTAACAATTTTCAAGAATTTTTATCTTTACTTCTGCTGAAAAACTACAACTGCAAAACGAAGTATTCTGAAAAGACATTTAATGCCTTGTTCTAAACAGTCATTTGTCGATTGAATAGTCAACATAAAAGAGCATTTCATAAGCTCATCTCAAGTTGTTATCCTTGTGTTTCACTTGATAAAAAGAAAAACTTAAAAGAAAAAAAAGAATAAAGTGTGGAATGGTACCTTTAATTTTAACCTGGTTCTATCTTCCTCATCAAGCACTTTCTCATCTGCAAATTCATCTTCATAATACTGAGGATCAAAAGGTCTAAAGATTGTTTTTTAATGTCGTATCAGCCATACTTAGTAATGACTATGATTAATACTATAAAATAATCTTTACAACATGCACCAAGATGCTAAAAAAATCACAGTGGACAAATAACTTCATGTAAAACTTCAAGGCAGTGTGCAAATTACTGTACTTTCTTGAAATTTGATTTTAAAACATATCACCTGAAGTGAAATCCAAATGTGACTACTAATCAAAATCTTCTGTGTCTGATGAAATACATCTTCTAAAATACAGGTGACACATGATCTATCTTTCCACATTTTTTAAGAAAAGTGTCATGTTTAATTGCACAAGAGCTTGTACTCCTGCACCTTTGTGAATAATATCCACCAACATTGTTCTGTTGTCCAAAATCATTGTCTTTTCTAGATTGACAATGGAACATTTGTGATTTCTCTAGCAAACTTTCTCACTCTCATTTTCCAATTTTTTAGCTTTACACTAGTGAAAAATATCTTCATCAGCTGTGATGTCTGTTTATTTATGAGAAGGTGCCAAATGCTAGAAGAATTATTAGCATTAACTCTCTCACACCAGTAATCCATCATTTTTCCACCACAGCACATCCTAAATTTATTTTTTCAGAGTTACATGAGAAGTTTCCCATCTTCGTGGTCAGAAAAAAATTTTCATTCCACATATTTTTATTAAATATCTTGGGAAAGAAAACTTTCCTCAGGCCTCTTACTTGGGTTCTATGCTGAGAAATTTGGGTAGTTTAACAAAGTATAATTCATTTCCTAAATCAGAGTTGATATTGGGAATCTCTACTTCTATTCTGGTTTCTGACACTGGCTCTTCCTCCTGCCGGTCCTGAGGCATCCCACGTTCATCCTAAGAGAGGAATCAGATGGTGAGAACTCGAAGTGACATTAGAAACGCCCTAGCTCTCCTCCTGCACTCGGCAGACGCAGGTTTGACAGGAAGTGAATTTAGACCCCACTTTAGGGATAAAGCAGTCAGCAACCCTTTTAGCCTCTCCCTAAAATTTCATCCTCTCCCCCCGAAAAACACCACCATGCGAAACAAGATCTGTTAGCCTGCATTGCCAGAAAAAATATCTATTTTGTTGACATATCTAGTTTGCATAAGATATTTAGCAACAGAAGTGTGAAATTATGCAACCCCTCAATACTAAGTAACTATTAAAATCAGAGAAGAATGTTAGAACACACTTCTTGGCACAGGTTGAATAAGAAAAACATTTTTTTTTTTTTGAGAAAGATTAGCCCTCAGCTAACATCTGTTGCCAATCCTCCTCTTTTTGCTGAGGAAGACTGGCCCTGACCTAACATCCGTGCCCATCTTCCTCTACTTTATACGGGGGACGCCTACCACAGCATGGCTTTTGCTAAGCAGTGCCATGTCTGCACCCGGGATCCGAACTGGCGATCTCTGGTCCACCGAGAAGCAGAACGTGCACACTTAATCGCTGCGCCACCAGGCCGGCCCCAAGAAAAACTTTTAAATCAAAGGTTTTCAAATTATGAGTCCTCACAGTCTTACCCCTAAAGTTTGGCATCAACATCATTCTGAGCAGTTCCTTCTATGCCCTCTAATTTCCAGAAATTCTCAACATAGCTAAGACAGTCTCCCATTTGTCAGATGTTTCAGACCGCTACTCATATTATCTGTGTCCTCTCTCCACACGAGAGAATCAGACTCATCAGCTTCTGAAACTTTCTTCTTAGCTTTGAACAATGGGACCAGTTATATTAGTGACTGTACTTACAACAGGCTGTCCTGGAATAGGTGGTTGATTGTCCCCATCACTCTCTGAAGAAATGTCACCTATGTCTCCAAACAGATCCATGGTCCCACTATAATCTTTGGTGTTGGAGGAAAATGCACAGCATTAATTTCTCTGACTGAAGTTCTTCACACGGTTCTTAGCCCATCACTTCAACATATTCCCAAGATTCATAAACCAAATCTCCACTAAACCAACCTCAAACTGGCTCCCTGAGCCTGGCCCTCAGAGGCCTGACAAGAGTGGCTGTGGAGAAGGAAGGTGGCAAAGTTGATTGGTGGAAGGCAATGTTGTGGTGATAGCCAGCTTTCCAGAAGGTTCCCAGTGATTCCTGCCTCTGGTATTCTTGCCCTTGTGTGGTCCCCTCCAACACTGCATCATGGTTTGTCTATGTGATCAATAGTAGACAACCTCACATCTGAGGCTAGGCCATGACATTTTGGCTTTTCTACCTTGTTCTTTCTCTCTTGGGTCACTTACTCTGGAGGAAT